ATAGAGAAGAAACCAGTGGCAAAAGCCAAGGTAGCAACAGAGCCCAAGAAGAGAACAGGAGAACTTAGGATAGATCCACCCGGGGCAAAGGTCAAGCCGAATCCAGCCCAAGGAACAAAGAGGACGGCAGAGACTGCCGTAGAAGACCTTGATCCCAGAGTGGAAGAGAGTCCAAAGAAAACGTCTCAGTTTTCTCATGTTCCAGAAACACCACCTGCAGGGTGGAGGCCAGATGCAGCAAGCTTGGTAAAAGAGAAGGAGATCGCAAAGCAGCATCTGAAGAAGATCATTCAAGGAACCTATGAGGCGAATGGCATTGAGATCACTGAGCAAGAGATCAGAGACATCGCGCATTTGAGTATGCAGATGTCAGCAGTAGATGTCATGGAAATCTACTCGCCCAAGAGGTTCACCGCGCTTGCAGAGCGGTACAAGTTGCGACCGGGTTTCGCGGTCGACTTGAATGAAACGAAAAGTGATGGAACATACTGGGACTTGAACAAGTCCGAAGATGTCCAAGAGGTGCACAACATCCTAGAGAGAGACGAACCGGCTCTCTTGACCGGATCGCCTCCGTGCCATATGTTCTCGCAGCTCCAGAATCTAAACTGGAGAAACATGGCACCGGATGTCAGGAGGAGGAAAATGGACGAAGCCGTCCATCATCTTCATACGAGCGTAGAGCTGTATGTCAAGCAGCATCGCTCAGGGAGAAAATTCCTCCATGAGGCACCATGGGCCGCAACCAGTTGGAAGGATGAGAAGGTTGAGGCCTTAGCAAAAGAAGATGGTGTGTTTGTGGTGAAAGGTCCAATGTGCAGGTGGCAGATGATGGCCACCGACCGAAGAGGACTCCAAGGCACCGGCTATGTGAGAAAGGAGACCGGTTGGATGACCAACGATGAAGGGTTGGCCCGAGTCTTGCAAGGAGTCTGCTCGAATGAATCGGGCAAAGGACCATGGCACCGACACATCCATCTGATCGGAGGCATTGCTAGGCAGGCAGCGGTATACTGGTGAAAGCACTGCTGAGGAGCCTGCGTGACACACTAGCAGAGAAAGGTGAGTTGAACACCTTCGATCTGTTCGCAGCAGGCCCAGTTCCAGAGATGCCTCTGATGAACCCAGAGTTCGAAGAGGTCTACATGGATGATGTGAACGGCGGCATTTTGCCAGCCGAGAAAGTGAAGGAGGCAAGACGCCTTGAGATGGACTACTTGAAAGAGAAGCATGGCGTTTATGTGCCCCGGCCGAGAGCCGAATGTTTTGAGGAAACGGGGAAGCCCCCGATTCCAGTCAGATGGTTGGACACCAACAAGGGAGATCCAACAAACCCGAACTACAGGAGCCGATTAGTTGTGCGTGAGATAAAGGCAAGAAAGACCAAAGAAGAACAATTGCCAGCCAACTTGCTTTTCAGCAGCACGCCCCCACTAGAGGCGATGAGACTGCTGTGCTCGTTGTGGGCAACAAAGAGAAAGTCTTGCCACAACCAGCCGCTGAAGCTGGGCTTGTGGGACATCTCACGAGCACACTTTTATGGAACTCCGAAGAGAAAGATCTACATAGAGCTGCCGCCTGAGGACGAAGCCAGCAAAGATGGACAAACCTGTGGACTTCTCGTGAAGTCGATGTATGGGACACAGGACGCTCCAAATATCTGGCAGACGCACTACACAGAGACTCTGCAGAAAGCTGGTTTCCGCAGAGGATTGTCGAATGCGTCAGTCTTCTACCAAGAAGCTTGGGACGTCAGAGCGATGGTGCATGGAGATGACTTCCTAGCACTCGGAGACGCCCAACACTTGGAGAAGCTCAGCCAAGTCCTCAAAGATGCCTATGAGCTGAAATGTCTCGGAATTCTTGGAGACGAGGATGGAGACCGAACAGAAGCCCATTTTCTGAATCGGTTGATCCGAGTCGAAAAGAAGAACGGCAAAGGACCGATTGTGATCGAAGCCGATCGGAGACATGTTGATCTTTTGATTCAGGCATTTGGCCTGGAAAAGGCAAATGGTGTGGAATCACCAGATGTCAAGAAGTCGGCAGATCAGCAGATGCTGGAAAGCCGCAGTCCGCTGCTTGATAAGAGCGAGGCATCGAAGTATCGTTCAGCTACGATGCGTGCTGCGTATCTGTCCCAAGATCGACTCGATATTGGACACGCAGTCATGAACCTTGCTCGAGGTATGGTGTCGCCGACAGAAGCCAAACTTGCAGACTTGAAACGTCTCATCAGGTACTTAAAGAAATACCCTGATGTTGGGCAATGTTTTGGCTCACAACAGGCACCCTCGAGGCTGAGGGTCCAGGTCGACGCTGACCACGGTGGAGATGCTGTGACACGCAAAAGCACGACTGGCATGGTTGCCATTTATGGTACACACGTGCTGAAACACAGCAGTAACATCCAATCCACCATAGCCCTTTCCACAGGCGAGAGCGAATACTACGCACTCGTGAAGGGCGGATCTGTAGGCTTAGGACTCCAAAGCCTATGCGCAGATCTTGGTTTGGATTTGGAAGTCACCATAGAAGGCGATTCCAACGCAGCCAAAGGAACTGTCAACCGAGTGGGTTTGGGTAAAGCCAGACACATCCAAACTCGTTACCTATGGTTGCAAGAAAGGGTTGCCGAAGGCCACTTGAAAGTGCACCACGTTCCAGGTGTTAAGAACAAAGCCGATGTGTTGACCAAATCGGTCCCTGGGGTGCAGCTTCGCAAAACAATGGAGGACCTGCAGTATGCATTCCTCAGCAAGCGAAACAAAGGACAGTTGGATGTTTTGGAGTAAGGTCCCTGGCCAAGCTCCACTACCACAGCTGAGAGTGGCTTAGCAGCGTGAGGTTTCACATACTTTCTTTAAGCTTGCGCAGCAGTACAGTGCTTTGCAAGAGGAGGAGTGTTTGCATGTACAGCCCATAAATACTCCGCTAGAGTACTGCAGACACGACTCATGACGTGTTTTGGCTCAAGGTGAAAAGGCGTTCCGAAACGTCGAAACCTCGTTTTCATATAACCAAAAGCAACACAGCTGGGGATTTGAGCCAAGAGTTCTGAGCTGGGGTACAGGTCAGGTCAGGTCTATTCATAGAGATTTCAAGAATGGCACCCAGCGGCCCAATCAAACGGAGTTGAAGCATGAGTTGGGCCAGATGCAGTTGGGCCTACCCCGAGAATGGTATACACTACCATTGGTATGCCTTTATACTTTAACCATACATATGCGGTTGGCAGACGGTTGGCAGGATGTTCTTTTCACCATGCAACATGCATTTGTTACTGTGTTGCCGATTTCTACGATGCATGATGCTTTGTCAAGGCTTAGTCGGCTGCCAGTTTCACAAATATGGGTGTGTGTTAAAATAGAGGGAGACCTCCAAAAAAACTGAAAGAAAGGAAATAGACCAAAACCCATTGGTTGGAGTTCCCCCTATCAAATTATATTTTTTGTAATTATGTTTACAGTAACCCCTTTGAAACAATCTTTTTCAGCAGGAACCTGAGACTGCTGAACATGTGGAGCAGGATGATGATCCGGCGGAGCTGCAACGGAAAAACAACGATCTACGTACCACCCCAGCCTCGCTGCCGGGGCAAGGAATGTGAATGATGTGATAGCTCTCGCGGAAACTCACTACTCATGCATGTAGCGGAATTGGAACATGTTGGAATCCATGACCTACAGTGATGACAACCTGAACCACATATGTTCGGTTCCTATATACAAGCTTTCAAAGAAATCAATCCACAACCCACCAGATGAGAGCAAAAAAACAACCTCATGTGATTCATGTATCTGTATAACAGGGTGTTATTTTCCGCGACCCGGTGGCTTCGGCCAGGCATCTTCAACTCTCGCTGTGCCGAAGCCAGGCACAGCGGCGTGGCGCTGCGGATTGGGCGAACGTGCTGCGCCAACGATCGGCGGTGGAGACGTGGGACATGTGCACCCGGATTTTTATAGAACGATTTTTTCGGGACCTGGGTCTTTGATCAACGTCTCCAGCCAAAAAGAACCTTACTTTGAGACAGGACAGAATCTCACAAAACTACAAAGAAGATCTGAGGAGCAAAGTTCTGACATTAGGAGAGCTACAGAGAAATCCAGTGAAGTTCATTATTTACTATGATCTATTTTAATGTGTTCAATCAGCAAGTGAGTTTGGTCAAATCGGCCGGCATGACGACCGGAGGGAAACATCCTCATGTTTGAGGGTTGAAATATGGCGACAGGACATGCAAGAAGGGCGAAGGCTCAATACACATATCCAATAGGAAAGAGGGCGGTTTGTCATGTGTTTCTAGTTTGTTTGACCAGGCACTCTTGCTTGGACAGTCCAATCTAACATGAACACCAATGAAAGTGTTTCCTGTGCATGGCCAGTGTATGCCAGTCAGCGTTCAGTTATCCTCGAGGTAGTTGGGATGATGTATGATGATGTAGGATTTGTCCACCAGAACGGGCAGACCTGGCGCAACAGAACGATTCGTTTGCATCAGCAGCATGCAGGATGCAGACATGGAAACTTGGCAAACACAGGGTAGTTTGATCGTCAATTGAGAGTAGTTCTAGGAACTTTTTGGGTTGATCAATCTTTGATACTGTAGACTCCAAACCCCGCATCATTCCTTCTTTCGGGACAGCGATCAGGTGCAGGCTAAACTTGTCAGAATGTCCAGAACTTGTCAAAACTGGTCCCTGTTGACTTGTCAGAGCGTCTCTGCCCTCTTTGACACCTCGTTGACACCCCTTTGACACCTCGTGCGGCGTTCCAGGTGCCAAGTCGAAGATGATGCGTTCACCCAGCCCAAAGGCCGAAGGGTTCGCACCGAAGAGTTCGCACCGCGGCATCTCCCCGGGGCGGCGGGACGTGGAAAAAAAGGAAAACAAAAACGCACCCTCACGGAAAATCGGTGGTTGTTGGAAGATGTCCATGTTTCCAGATGATGTTTCCACTGATATGCCATGTCCGCTGTGCCACTTCGGCTCCAAATGAAGCTGTTCAATGAAATGAGATCGAACTCCATTGGAAGTGTGCTGGGCTGCTTTCTGTGCGCATGCCACTTAACTTGCGTTCAGAGTGAGACATGTGAGACCTCCAGCTTGCTGCAGTTCCACCCGGTTGATGCCAACGGCAAGTACGACACCCACGGCAGCAGCACATTTGCACAGTCGATAGTGGGCGGGCCTTCAATTTCAAATGTCACTGGCCCTGCCAAGATTTTCAGGACTGGTGTTCTTTCATGGAGTCGTTGTTTTAGTGACTACGCATTTATGGGTGACGCACAGTCCAAAAATTAGAGCCTTGCTGTGGGTACTGATGTTCTTTCCTCTATTATGTGGGAGCTTTCCCAAATCCAAGAATGCAGTGACATGTCTTCCTTCTCTTTTTGGTCTGGCCCTTTGACTTCTTGGTAGAGGAGACCATATAAGACAGGTCTTGTGTACCCTGCGGCAGTAGCCAAGCTTCCGACTTGCCAAAGACTCCACAGCAAGGGGGAATCCAGTGGCGAACAGCGCTCGTACAGGCTGAACGAAGAGCGCGACATCCAAACGAACAAAAACTGTACCAAGAGCCGCAAGTGGCCAGCCTAGCTAGAATGGGGTGGCTTGTTTCCTGATAAATCGGGTTGGGATGGGTTGGGTACCAGGGGCTCAACCCCACTGAGTGTGCCCACACGGCTGTTGGACAACGACAGGGGGTCAAGGCAGTGACAAAACTGGTCAACTGTACAGCGACGCTGATGAGCGCCGCATGTGGTCTACCTTGGAATGATCACGGGATTGTTGCACTGCGCGGTGCTGTGAAGGCTGTGAAGGTTGTTGCACTCCACCTTCGTGTGTCGCCACCATCGGTGTGTTGAATCATCCGGAGGGGCATTGTTGAATCATCCGCATCGAGCGTCGATGTGGATCAACCGAGCCTTTTCCCCTCGCTCCCCCAGCTGCTGGGCATCCGCTGGGGGCATTCCCAGTACCCTCTCTTTTTCGCGTCCAAAGTCCAGGCGGGAACTGCGCGACGACCGCCAGTTGGAAAGACATTAAAAACCGAGAAAAAAGGAGCACTTTCCGCCATGGGTTACTGCGCGAGTTCGCGATCTGACCCTTGCGGAGGTTCACTGCTCAAATCCAGCCCCCTTGTGGAGCGCGGGCGATTTCTGCGACACATTCACGAAACAAAAAAAACCAAGGGCACGCACAGTTTGAGATAGTATGCCCATGTATGCCCTGTGTGCCCTGACAACCCTGCACAACCTGCCATTGTTCATTGCTTTCTTCCTCATGCATTCGCTTCAAAAACTTTGAAGCCTGTCAAGGACAAAAGTACAAGCCTTTGATATCAGCGGGCTGAACATGTATGATGGAGCCGGTGCATTGGTTGCATTTGACAGTCATCGATTATATCGGTTTCAAGCAGCTGACACTGCCAGCAAAGAGAAGTCCTGGATCGCTGTCTATGGCTTGGTGGTCGGCTTCCTAGAGTCCTCCTGCGTGATCCTGCGTGTGCATGTTAGGTTCAATAAAAAAGACTCATTATGACTCATTCATCCACAGGTTTGTATGGTCACATGGACGCCTGATGGTTTGCCATGGCTTTTTGGTTTCTTGATGAGGCTATGATCCTGATTGCCGTCAGCCCTATTGCTTACTACGAGGGCCCTCAAGCTCTTCTGATGGTTATTTCATACTTGTCAGCTGTGACGTTGGTCAAGGCACGGGGCACAACAGAAATCGCAGTCTGATGGGATTTTTTCGGGTTCCCATTTTTTGAGAGGTTTGAATGTTGATTTGCCATCAGTGAACCTGGCCAGGTCTTTGTGAAAGAAACCATCAATCTCGGCTACCCGTATCCAAATACACTGACTGCGATGCACATGCTCGCCGTATGCCTAGTGACCTTGATCTTCGAACGGCCCAAGATGGATGAAGCCTTGAAGGTGTTGCCCATCTCCGTCTTGAACGGCCTCTCCCTTCTCACCAACAACACGGCATTCCTCTACGGAGGGGTGGCTTTTGTGTCGATGATCGCAGCCAATGTCCCCTTCATGACCTTTTCGCTGGAGCTTATTAAAGGAAAGTCACTTTATGAAAAACATCACTTTAGTATGAATGAACACTTCATCATTGTATTCTTTTGTTCACTTCTTTAAGCCCCAAAAAGTCTAGTGCTTTTGCCCCCCACCTGCCTCAAAGCCAACATTCTTTAAGCGAGCTGTAGGTGTGGTTGTATCGTGCCGACTTTTGGCGTGTGGGAAATCAATTTGTTCCTAGTAGCTTCTTGTTACAGTACTAATTAGTAGCGATGGCCTCCAACATACTTGCGATGGCCTCCGCACACCACCAAGGCGTTCTTTTAACTTTGCTTCAGCTTTCTCCGTGGGAATGGTTTGCGGTGGCAGCATTTGCTGCATCCAGGGTGAGGTGAATGCCTCCCTTGCAGCCTTCATTTGGGCAACCATCAGCGCCCTGCTACGGTCCGCACGCGGTGTGTGGCAGCATGAGTTGGTCTCTTTGAGCCTCTCTCCCTTGCGCTTGGTCTTTTGGAACGGGTTTTGGTCTGGCTGCATCACTTTGGTGATTCTTGGGGCCGGTCTTGCGAAAACGTTTTTTGCGAAAACGTTTTTCTTCCTCCGCGTCCTGGGACGCGCATTTGACGTACATGTCCTCCGCTTTCCTTCTTGTTTCGGCTGTCCTCCCGATTCGGCTGATGGTTTTCCAACCATCCACTGAGGACGATGGTGGCCAGCGGCGAATGCTTGGAAGGTTTGATGATCCTCCCAACCATCGGTGCTGAAGTGCAGGTTGCGCTCTTGAATTCCATTTTGGCCGCCGTGTGTCTCAACATCACGCAGTGGTATGCCATGAAGGCTTTGGGTGCTTTGATGTCAAGCACCTTGGCGACATGGCAGTAGCTGTTTTTGCTGGTTAAGTATAGAAAAACGGAGCTTTCCCAAAATCCAGCGCTGAGAGTTGCAAGGGTGTCACTCCAGATACTGTTGCAAGGGTGTCACTCCAGATACTGGCAAAGACACAGGCATCGTCGGCAACTTGAATCTGATCCTTGTGATTGCTCTGTCAATAGCGTGGCTGCACGAACAGGTCACGGCTTGGCAGTTCCTTGGAAGGATACAGTAAGACGCCTTGCAGTAAGCGTGAACTGAGGCAAAATCGAGCCATCATACCTTGGCAATCCTTTACAGAATATTCAAATAGACTTCTTGTTTGCCAGAATCACAGCTGTTGCTGAGAACTGCACTTTCTCACAGCAAGCTGCAAGGTACGTCGGAGTGCTCCTCTTGGCCACTGGTACTTTCACCAACAAGATGCAGGGCTTTTGCCGCTGGGTTTTAGCGGATGAATTCGAATCCTTGGTTTGTTTTGGTTCGATGCGTTCGATGCATTTTTTGCTTTTTTAAATGTCTCATTGGGGTTTGCGAAAACTCTGCCGAGGCTTCTCCAGCCAAAATGGCAACACGACTCCACGTACCGACAATCCTCGCAAGACCCCGGACAGTGAGCCGAAGGAAACATCTCCTGCCACACTTGCGTCATTAGGACTCAAACCGCGTGGTGAGAATCTATCTGGTGGGAAGACACCCTGAGAGATGCCTTGGTCAACCCAAGAGCTAACTCCGATCCAAATATGTTTACATCATTTTCAAAGGTTTTACATCTAGCCATTTCACCAAACTTGCTTGCACTCCTGGCACTGGCTAAAAAGATGTGTGAAGGGTTAAGATCGAGCGACACGAAAGCTTATATAGATATGTATCATGGAGTGTGTGAGTAGTAACAATAAAGCTAGTAGCAACATTGTAATTGTATCCAAACTCTGGGCCCAACATGGCCCAGATGGGCGTTTTGTCAGGGCATTGGCAGCACGCTGAAGCTCAAGAGAGAGGTGTCACGCCCGGTCGCCCAAAACATCGGTGTCAATGGGACCTGTGTCTTGAAGTTCAATAGTGCTGTTGAATCAATCCTTTTGGTTTGAGTGAATGTGGCTTCATAGGCGTTGGCTGGGTCTGTGTTGTGAGACTTTCTCCTGAAATGGTTGACTATACTAGTTCTGGGCATTGTTTGTTTTTCCGCTCCGCCAAGAGGCATTCCAGGTGACATGGGTTTCTCGCAGGAGTTTCTCTCTTGGGGTCCCTAGCTTCGAGGAGGACTCAACTGGAAGGTGCACGGAACCGAGCAGCCCAAACTGCAGCTGCTCCGTGCAGCGGAACCGCGCGCCCCGGCTGCGACTCGAAACCTTGCTTCGACTCACAGGATTTCGGCCCAGGGGAATCCAGAGGAGCCATAAACCATGCTATGATTGCTATGTATCAAAGGAAACGATATATTTATATATACAGTACTGATCAGTACTGTATTGTATGTGCTGATGTTGATTCGTTTGTAAAAGTGAAGTAAACATGTGCAGAGTCCCAGAAGTTCCAGCCTCTGGTCAAAAGAAGGACCCGGTATCTCTGAGTCTCGCCAAGGTCAACGTCATGATGAAGTCCAAGCTTTGCGTCTTGCAGCCGAGCAACGGAAGAAGGTGCAAAGCTGTAGCGAAGCGAAGATGGCAAAACAAGGGGAACAAGGGAGATCTAGAGAGAGACCTGCAGATTTGTAGATTTCTAGATCTGCTAAACCTCTAGAAAACTAGAGGCTTCATATCTCTGGATCTCAAAACATCTGAAAACCTCTCTTGTTCTCAGCTCTAGGCCACTAGATCTGCATCTAGACCTCCAGACCGCTAGATGTTTCTGCGTGGGAAAAGGTGTTTAGATCTTTCTAGACCTTTAAATATCTTTGGATTTTCCCTGAATCTCAAGACCTCTGGACTGGTAGTTCTGTGGAGCCACGTCTAGGTCTCTAGACCTTGTGTTTCTACACCTCCAAAAAAAGGCCTTAGACCTGTAGACAAACTGTTTGGGGTCTCTTGCCGGGATAATAAACAAAGGTCCAGTCTTTCCTGGAGTCTCAAGTGGTTCGAGTTTCACTTACTGATAGTTTTCAACCAGGCTGGCCCAGGCTGGCCATCGTTTACCACATAGTTATCGATCTCCCCGTACGTTGGAAACAGTTTTGTTTGGGATGGGGGGCCCAAAGAACCGCAAGGAATTTGGGCCCAGGTAATGTTCAACGCATTATATAAGTCCTGTTATCTTGCCAATGAGGAGTTTCAATAATGTCCCCTATATATCCCAAGGGCGCCCCAGAGTCCAGAGTCTTGATGTTTCACGAATTAGGCAGGCAAGCGGCAAGTCATGTGTTTTCTTCTGAGCTCTCAAGGCGCTGTTTTCTTTTTTGGAGTGATTATTGCCATACAACGTGTCCGCGCAAACAACCGCTTGGAGGACCTGCAAGCTCTCTTGCAACAGGTCCGCCGATGGCAGCCGTGTTTTTTGGGGGGGGCGAGGTTCTACGAGGCAGATCTGTCGAAGACCCTCAGAGAGCCTGGTCCTGGTCGGTGTTTGGTTTGTTGGGACCACAAGAAGAGCATCGCAGGAAGCATCCACCCAAAAGAAGGGTCATAAGGAGTCAAGAGATGACAAGTTGTTGTTCTTGTTGTTGTCGTCAGCGGAGATAATGACTCTTTGCATCTATTTGGAGAACACTTGTTGCGGGTTGGACCATGATGACACGAAAACGCCTTTCTTCAGCACGGGTTTGCTGCCCCAATACAGGCAAATGACAAAGTCGTCTCTTGTTTATCTAGATTGTGGATGTTAGCTTGTGGAAAGTCTCAAGTTCTCCGAGATCCACGTCGAATCTGGGGACATGTGACGAATGGAACGATGGATCAAGAAAACCACAGATGGATACCTCAATCCAAGGGAAAGAGCATCTCCGGCCTTCGGACATCCAGGATCATAACATTTGCCAAACAGCATGAGTGTTTCATGGCTTCAAAACTCGGATGATGGTGTTCGTGAGATCAAGACGTCAAGTGTTTGGTTTCTTCACTTTACACTGGGGAGACCCAAAATGGAGCCAAGTAGCTTCATTATGTGTTGAAAGAAGACGTAGAGATGTAGTGTAGTCAAGCGTATACTGTCAGATCAGGTCAGGAAGCTGAATGATGTCCGACTTTTGGGTAAATGCTATTGTCATTAACTGTTATTGCCATAGTTTTTGCACCTGGGATAACATGTACGTAAGAATACCTACAACTCTTACCCGTGCCTTGCGCACTGCCAATAATGTTTATTTGGAACATACTTGGACAAAATAGCTATACTTGATGCTAACCTAGGTTCAAATCTCATTCCAGGCCTTGCTCGAAATTGTTCGACGACATGGCCAGGATGAGGAAGAGCGGGGTGAGAGTTTTGGAACCTTGCATGCCAGGCGGATAGAAGAGTTCTCCGCGTGATGGCGAGAAGAAGGTTACTTTTTTTGTGATTTCAATCATGTGTTGCGGCACACATGTTTGACCCCCGAAACAAGGGAAACAAGATCATCTATGCGTCTTCCTTCCGAGATCTCTCGTCGAAGACCTCCAGCACGGTTCAGAGATTCAGAAGGATTTGCTATCACTGACGGTGAGGTCACTGCGCAAACTGTGCGTTTCACGAGACCCCAGCAGTGAAGGTTCGTCCAATTGGTCAAGAAGTTTTCCTTTCTGAGCGAGTGAACCTGGATGAACAGACTGTATAGACGCCCCCCCGGAAAAAGCGAAGCCTGCCATTTGTTCAGAGCAGCATCTGTTTGTTCCAACTCCCGACCGAACATCTATGGGAAGGAGTGGGAAGGGTCCTGCCAGATCATGATGGTCATGTGTTTCTTCCAGCGTTTTTGGAAGGCTTCAATGCGCAGAAGCCTCCAAGGAAGCACTTGAGGTTCCGGAGTGTCCGGGTGCGGAGAACTGGTGTGTCAGACGGTCGGAAGACCCGACCAACAACCCTGAGAAACGGGACAAAGATGGTGGAAAGTCGGTGGAAAGTGGTGATTTGACTTGTTAGACTTCCGCATTGGGAAGCATGAATTTCCATATGGTTCCATTGGGAATGCTCGAATATGTGATTGTGTTGAAGGGTTTTGTCATGTCCTTGCTGGTAAGTTCGCTCTTCAAATCAACCAAACCCGGAGGGGGGGGTGGAAAGATGTTGGAAGCTCGGATCATTTTGTCCATAGGATTTTATCATATTTTGTCCTGGGTGGCTTATCCAGATTAGGACAACATGTTTGCCACAGATGGGGAACAGAGCCACCAGCGGGTCGACATGTTCGCACAGGTTGCTGGGGTGAGTAGATCGTTACCCCGACCAACGTTTAAAAACGCGGGGCAATACAACGTTTGAGTTGAAGGGCGTCTACCCCTGACTTCGATTTATATAGCTCGAAGAGCGTCTGTCCGGCTTAGGAGTTGCAAACTTTGGATCCAGTGGATACCACGGGGTTAAGTACCTTGCGATCTATCTTGAGATGTGACATGGATCAGTCTGCGGGCTCGCAGCTGGGATGACCCGCCAGTCGGTATTTTTTTAATGGGTTCCACCAAGAGGGGTCTCACACTTGTGGTGAATTACTGGAATGCAGCTGGGACACGTGAATTTAGCTCCCGAAGCATCCAACACAGTCTCGTCTCAGAAGAATTCATTTGACCATCGCGATGTGAGTGGGCAGGTGCAACTGGCTTCCATCACTTCTCATGCAGAGAGGCTGGGACGCGGTGGTCAGACGGTCCAACGCACTGCCGAAGCATCGCCGGCAGGGGGGTCGGACCTTCTCCACCGAAACGCAGGGGTCCCCGAACCAAACCCTACCCAAAACCTGCGTGTTTGAGGGATTCTTAGGGCAGGTCCAGCTCATCAGATCGCTCCCACTCGCTCCAAACCATGGAAAAGCGCGCCTCGGACGACTCGACGCGCCTCGGAGCGTTGGAGTCGTCCGGGAGTCGACGAAGAGGGCGACGAGCCAGGGGCGAAATCCCCGGAGCTGACGTGGAAGAAGTTCTTCCTGCAGGTCACCCAACTTTGCGAAAATGGTGGGGGGGGGTTCCCCGACTCCAAAGATCTCAAAACCAGGTGGAAAGCTCGGTGGACCTTTCTGTTCCAATCTGAGGGAGTCAGTCAGACCTGGTATGATTTCACATCCCCCCTTAACCTGGGTCCGGGAGAGGGGGGGACCTCAAGTTAAGTTGCATTTTCTGGGGGACCCTAGGGGGTCTAGAAATGGAACTACCCCCCCTGGCAACTCAGACCAACTGCTGTTCCGTTTTGCCTTCAGCACCAGCAAGCCACACAAAACAATTAAAGGCGCGCACACACAAACAAAGGAAAAAGGACACACAAACACACTCTGACATTGGTTTTCATTGACTCAGTTACCACTATGGGAAGGATGGCGGTGGAACGGCATGGTGATTGGGTCAGATCACT